GAGAGGAGAGCCTAAAACAAAACCTGCTTAAAATATTGAAAAAAAAACTATTGTGAGCAGGTTAAAACTTGAAAAGAAAAACTTTTTGCGGACATGTCAAGGATAGATTTTATGCAGGACGGGCTACAGCTCTGGAGACCCAGAGGTAACCGCTGGACAAAATTCCACATGTCTGGAGGAAAGACATATGGCTAGCAAGTAGTCTTGACTTGAATCCAATTGAAAATCTATAGTCAATTCTTGATAATATGGTTGACACGAAACTGTTCGCTCCTACTACTGTTGCTGGACTGGAAAGATCCCAGCTGGACGCCTGGAAAAAGATCCCTTTGCAGATCTTCGAGAATCTCATTCCTTCGATGCCAAGCTGTCCTTTAGGTCAAAGGAAAATTTCCTGTGAAGTAAATTGTGAAATATACATATATATATTACTTTAGAAACTTTGACTGTATTATTAGGGTACAAAGAATTTCAGGACAACCCATATTACTTTTCGCTGGTTAGGTGCTTGCGCCAGATCTAAGTACGCATTAGTAACCTCACCCTCACCGTTCGAATTAGCCCCATCTTTTTTATGCGGTGGTCGCATTAGTAGTATTGTGTCTGGTACGACTAATTTTACTTCGCGACCTAAGGGTGATCAGCAGGTCCGCAGGGATTTATGCCTACCTTTCGAGGAAGCATGCGCAACGTAGGACGCGTCTAATATTAAGATCACTGTTATTTCCTTAAAAGGTCATAGCGCTCTAAAATATAAGCGCTTAAAAGTTTTTTGCTGTTGCCTAGGCGACTCGTTGAGTGCCATTTTATTGGATACTACACCTTAACCTAGTTATTATTATTGTTTTTTATAGAAATGCTCTCAACGTTGTTATCCATGATCTGCTCACCCAGCTGGAGGATCTCACTGTGTAAGTCGCTCTTTTTATACTATCATTTCACTAGTAATAATGACGTGGTAAGGACGTTCACAAACCAAACTACTAGGCATACTTGTCCGGTTGCGTCGCCTAGCGACCAGAAATGCACACAGCACGCAATAACGACAAATATGAGGGTAACTGAGATGGCGCTTGTTAGCTATCATCCTCATCATCATCATCAGCCAGCCATGTTTGGCTAACCTGGCATTCGAAACCGGGTGTTCTTCCGTAATTGAGCGATCCTTTTCAGCGGCAGTCAATTCGACGCAAACCCTCATCCTCTTGCGGAGAGGAGTAGCAAAAGCATGCACAGCGGACTGGTTTTAACGCAAGTATTCTCATTCCCTGAAGACCGCACAGCACGTACTTGCTTCAGAGCTTGGCACTTACGGGAGATAATGGACTGTCCTGCAGGAGGCCACGTCTTCGAAATATCGAGACCTTAATTCGGAACTGATGCCTATCCTGTAGCACAAGGTTAGGCAAGGTTAG